GCTATGCAATCCATGAGGTTTTTCTCAGGTTAGATCACATAAATATCAATGTGTTGTTAAACCCGCCACCACCCGACACAGCCAATTAGTAAGGTTTGTCACGTAAGCAAAGTATTACTAATTGGCTGTGTGGGGTGGAGGCGGGTTTATATATTTACAGGATCTAACAAAAAAAAAACTATTGGTCGTGAAAGCCTACGTGTTAAAATGCAATACACCAAAGAAGGATGCTGGAGTCATCAGCAAAACAAATGTAAAAAACAAAACATGCCTTTTTTGTTAGTTTGTAAAGCCACAAACAGAGATGAAAGCAGTTCCTGTAAATCCTCTTTTAGACGGGAATTAACTCATTTTTTGACAGGTTTTAGAAAAAGAACATTGTGGGCAAAAGAGTTTATCTTTCCGATTTTGCAAAGTGACCCAAAGCTAAATGTATTATCAGATGTCTTTGTACTGAACATTCGGCTTACCTTGAGCCCGAGGCCGAACTGGGCACACACCATGATGACTAAGGCCACCGTAATTATTTAAACTGTATTTGCTCACTGCCAGTGTTTAAGGTCAAACACTCATAGTGACGGAACAAATAATGCACTGCAAGGTAAATACTTGCGAGTACTTAGAACAAGTTTGGAGTTATTTTTTTATGTTTTCTAAAACTGGCTATCCCGTATAGATCCCAGAGAGAGAAAAGACACATGATGGCACTTTCGATGAAGAGGCCACTTTAAACAAATGCACGAAGCCTATGGCCTCGCTTTTATTGCTGTGCGTGTGTGTGTGTTTTTTTTATTATCAAAGTTTGTTTTCATAAACATCACCACTTGGAATATTAAAAATAGCTTCGTCCCGGGCGGTTCAGAAAACAGCAGCCTGTGGTCTATGGCACGTGAGTGGCTGCTGTGTGGACATAACAAAATGGGATTTTTAAAAACCACAATCCCACAACACAGGACTGGCAAACAACAACAAAAAAACAATAACCCACAAAAGAATCCTTGAATCCATATTTTTTTTTAAAACCCGACACTTTTATGCCGATGAGCTTATACAGCAGTTCTGGAAGGGTTGCCAGCTCGTGTGCCATGGGAGTAATGAAATGGGAGCGCATGGACCGGCAAATATGACTGCAGTTGTTAAAAGAGGCGAGAGGACAGTGTTGGCCTTCAGGAATGGGAGACACTTTCATCCAGCTGTGTACAGAAAACGGCTGGTGGCGTTTTATACGTATATATTTTTTCGTTAAGCAGTGTACAGAGGTTACAATGAATTCAACAGCGCACGCCGCAATTCAAAGAGAAAGTGGGATTTCCACCACCCATTAGGGTTGTATAAACTTTTCCTCTCCCACAGTTTCGCGAAACGAGGCGATGAACCAAACTACGCTCAATGTAAAATCAACACGACGCCCCGGGGACACCGTTGAAACCAATAGGATACGCATTTTAAACCACGCAAGTTTGCCAAATACACGCCGTCACATCAATGTGCACATGTACGGCCCTTTGTCAGTCCACTGCAAGATGAGGGCCTCTGCCCACCACCCCCACCCCCCCCCCCCCCGGGTGATATGATGCCGGTCAGTGTAGCTTGGAGGTGGGTAGAATATAAGTGGGAGCGCAGAAGTGCAATACAACACACGGAATTTGCTGCACCTTCTTCCGCTACCCATCAAAGTTAGAGCCCACTCTCTGATATCTTCCCCCCCCCGCCCCTGTGAAAATGTGTACTGCGATTAACAAAGAGGGGTAAACAATGTTCACTCTCTCTTTATCTTTTGATTTAAAGATTTCGTGACTGCAGGGATTCATATTCTTGGTTCTTTCGGTAAAGTCACCACGTAGAAGGGAAACAATAAAATAATAAAAATATAAAACAATTAAATTCTCACGACGTTTCGACTGCATGTGTTGCAGTCGAAACGTCGTGAGAATTTTATTGTTTTATATTTTTATTATTTTATTGTTTCCATTCTACGTGATTTTACCGAAAGAACCAAGAATCTGTCTTTATCGTTACAGTTCAGTTCAAAGGGATCCCGCCGTAGTGTAACAAATGGGCTCGCTGCGTCGGCAGTTTTAAAACAATAAGCTATGGTTTTTTCAAATTGGCCAGCCTACGTCTAACCCAGCAGTGTTCATGGGAACGCCCCACAGTTAAAGTTGATTGGCGGGTCACAAGTGGCAGGGTAAAGTGTGGGCACTCTGATCCTTTTTATCGAAATGTCTGGCTACAATTCTAGATTTGAAGCTTTCGTGACTGCAAGGATCCATACTCTTTGGTTCTATTCGGTAAAGTCAAAGGGTATGTCTGGCTACAGTGGAAGAGTAGGCCAAGACTCTGTGGAGCTCCCTCGAGTGGAGGCCCTTCTGCCAGCAGTGGCGTGAGGGAGCAGTTGAAGTGCCGTTTCGGTTAAAACTTTAAAAAGTCAAGACTCTTGGTCAACGAGTTAACAGATGTTCACAGTGTCGAGTTTGCGACATGATCATACTGTACATCCTTAATCTCGTGAGAAGTTTTTTGACCCGATCGATGCGGTAGAGGTTCCAAACAGATCTTCCGGGTCCGTGATTATATCTTGAAATGGAAAAAAAAAAGCCGTGAATTCAACCCAAAGAATTTGCACGTCAAATTTGTGGGGGTTTTTTTTACCAATCACACTCGATGTCGATGTCCAAACCGCTGGGTAGATGACAAGCTCGACATGGCGGGCAGCGTTTCTTTAAGGGAGAAACATTATTATTTATTTACAATGCCCTGTTTGCTTCACGACTTAAGAACGACCACGCTCCAGTGCACAGCGAAGTTACAACACCTCCGATTTGCTTACACAGTGGTCATAGTGATGGTATAAGATTAGGATCTCATCACGTGGCCTACGGCTATCACATGCCATCGTTGTGTGTGATTTCCACTACTGGTAAGCCTGACACAAAGGAATAAGCTGTAGTGGATTTTTACTTATTACACATGCATAGCGATTTCACGTGTGGAAGCTCCAAATTACAGTGACATCGAAGGTCAATTTAGCCGGTGCATGCAAGAAAACATATTTGTCAAAGGATTTATATACAAACAAATTACAATATGTATATTTAAAACAACAAAAAAATCTTCCATATCACGAGTGCTATTCGAAGATTTATTCAGAAGAAATTACGAGATGATTGCGACTAGGTATTCACGGTTAAACAGCAGGGCTGCTTAAGTTATGTAGGTTGCAGATTAGCTGAGATGGAGCAAAAAAGGGTAGGGAATGTTTGTGAAGCTGGTGGATTAAGTGCTACAATCTGGCAGGCACTTACTTATACACATAAGGGTACTCAAGCACGGAACACAAAGACAAAGATCCCCCATACAGCCTTAACAGACTGCTGGGGCAAGTGCTGTGAGCGAGCACCGATGAAGGCCGCCACGCCCAGCCGCCTTTGTCTCCCAAGTGGCGATGCTTTTACACAGCGCACCAGGTACTCATTTTAGGCTGAGTCGACCGAGGGGATGTCCAGGAACCGATTCAGATATGAGCGGAAATCGAACCTCAAATCGCCGGGATTCGTAGCGCTAACTGCTACACCACCGCTGCCCCACCGCTGCCACAATCAAGCATGGACAAAGACAAATATCCCCCGTATAGCCTTAGCAGACTGTAGGGGCAAGTGCTGTTGGCGAGCACCTATGAAGGCCGGAACAGTACACGAGGGGGTGGGGTGGCCAACACCACGCCCGACCGCCTTTGCCTCCCCAGTGGCGATGTTTACGCACCGCATCAGGTACTCATTTGAGGCTGAGTTGACCTAGGGGGAGGCCCAGGACTGGGTCAAATAATCGTCACCAGTGTTGGCCGTGAGCGGGAATCGAACCCGCGTCGCCGGGTTCATAGCGCAGCGTAGCGCTAACCGCTACTACACTACCGCTCCCCTTAACGCACGCACACGCATGCGTGTGTAGACACTCGCGCATGCCAATGCATACACTGACAGACATGTGAAAGCATGCACAGCTGATACACGCACGGACATGTGTAACCATGTGGAAACCACACGCATGCAAAGGCGACCCAGGAACACGCGTGCTCAGACGCAAAGACAAAGGTCACTTTGTTTGACGTGGTGAGCTTTTTTTTTCTGCGAGGCCAGGATTATTAGCGAGTGGCCGATTATATCATCAACGCCTCGTGAAAGGGGAAAGAGTCCATTGCCTTTGCGTTATTTAAATGGCGGCATTAATACACAAAGTTAATTATTCCCTTTTAGCCTGAGTTGACCTAGGGGAGATCTGTTGGTACCAACTTAAGCGCAGTAATTGCAGTTGATGTGCAATTGATTGTGATCAAATCCAGACCTTGGGAGATGTGACGCAGCTGCGTGTGTGCGTGTGTGCGTCGGACATACATTGCGCACAACGCGAATTTCATTGCAATTATACCATGAAACCTGGAACTCGCTAAAATGGCACGTCAAGATAAGCGATAGGAAAAGTTTTTTACTCCCATTGACAACAAGTAAACACACACAAAGGTAAACATTACAATCTACAAGGTGCCTACTAAAAACGATTTAGTATTTTGTTATTCGCCAGGTAAAAGCCCACTGTGTGATATCGCATAGCAGCCAAATGCTTTGAACGCGCGGTGACTTTAAATGTGGAGGGAAAAAACCGAAGGAAACCGGAGAAAAATCCACGCGACCAAAGGGGAGAACATCCAAACTTCAAATATACAGCAGCAGGTGTCAGGGTCGGTATTGAACCCACGTCCTCCTGCACACCAGGCGAGGTAGTTAACATATTCCAGCAAAAAATGCAATCCATCACCCCCCCCCGAAAGAAATCCGTGGTTATTTTTTTGTTGAATGTGTCTCGAAGATGGATACATCTGACACCATACGGGTAGCGTCCACGGCTTAAAAATGGGATACAGTTGCAAATGCTGTTACTGCATTAAATTCCATTCTGCAAGTTTGTACTGTTTAATTACATTCCAAAACCTTATCTTTACTTACAAGGATAAGACGGTGATGTTTTCAGATGATTTTCCAAAGCTTGCTATTTCTGTGAGTTCATTGTGAGCCACTTTCCTAAAGACGAAACGGGAGAAGAGAGAGAGATGCATCAACGCGCATCATACAGCAGGACAAAAACACGTTCAAGTATTGCATTGCAAAGAATGACATCACACACAGTTCAATAAAAAAACACCAATAGTACGGATAGGTGTTCACCCCCTCCCCCGTTGCTCCAGTTTCCTCCCACACGTATGCGTGTATGTTGAACTTCTTTCGCACCGTACGTAGCCGACCGTGCTGATCGGTGGTAAACACTCATTAATTGGCCGAAACACCTCAATGTATAGAGGACAACAGAGCTTGAGGGTGGGGCAGCGGGGATTTATTGCGGTGTGTATACGTATGTATGTATGTTGAACTTCTTTCGCACCCGTACGTAGCCAACCGTGCTAGACGGAGGCGTCGGCTTACTGCCCAGTTGAGATTATTATTAGTATTACTATACACGGCCTCCCCGGCTAACATTAGGAAACAATGTTCTACCGCTGTGGGTCTATTGTCACAATAAAGCAATCGAACCCTTATCTACAAAGACGCTGATCGTTTACCGAGGTAAAACAAGTGAAAGGCAGAGGTATGACCTGCAAACAGCACTTGAGGCTCCTGCAGTCAAGGGACCTTGCAAGGGACCCTTAGCCTATATTACCACTGTCCAAACAGACTGGAATAGTTGTGGAAACCCACACATCACCCCACCACAAGCAAACTGTCAGCCAGCCGGTTTAAGGGCATTCCCATTTTTTTTTACTGGGAGCACATTTATTTATTTTAGTTACAGCTCATCGGTTGGGTCAACGCACTTCTGGATCAATGTCGGGTCAGCCATTGGGGTTGTTTGACCATACTTCACCATGCTGGTCAGTACAGGTTGGTAAATAGGGTTAGGAGCACGGCTGGAACAGAAGTCAGCTGCCAGTGATGTTTGGGGTGCTGCGGTGGCAAAATTTTAACTACCTCGCTTGGTCGTGGGTTCGATCCCGACCCTGACGCCTGAATATTTGGAGTTTGCATGTTCTCCCCGTAGTCGCGTGTATTTTTGTCCCGGGTCCCCCGGTTTACAAACAACACGCATTCAGAGTATTTGGCTGCTATAAATTTGCATGTTTTAAGGCACTTCGTTTGGCTATCATTTGCGATATCCAGGTTGCTTCTGAAAAAAGAGCTATATAGCTCAGTGGGCCTTACCTGCAAAATAAAAAGTTTAGTTTTTAGTTTTAGCCTTGGCTGGAAATCAAACTCAGGTCACTGGGTTCGTAGCGCAGCGTTGTGAATCAGTACGCCACTGCTCCCCCACTTATTAAATAGATGGGATTCCCGCTTTGGCTGGGATTTGAAATTGGTACCTCCCGGGTCACGGGCCCCAACCACGTGAGCCTCTACATCACCGCAGAGAACATAACAATAAAGGGGGATGGATGAGGATTATAAAAACTCACATTCATCAATAACATTTCCTTAAAAGGAAAAAAATATATATTTGTGTGACAGCCAACTTTTCGGGGCAATGACCATTCTTCAAAGTACATAAATCCATTGCCTGAAACGTTCCCTTCTTCTATGAAACGTTGCCTATTGTGTATATGTGTGTGTTTTTTTTTGTTACGTGTGCTTGTGCACCCATTGCCAACGCAGAAGCGGCATCAGCACTGGCATCACCCAAACGGACTCAAATCAAGCAGTCTCGCCGTGAAGTGAGAAGACTTAAGTGTATACACGTGCATTCAAAAAAAAAGAAATGTATCACGATACGAATCCGTCCAACGGCTATTAAAGTCAAGTCAAAGTGTCACCGTCACCGGCAACGAGCTAGCAGTGGAAACTCCACGTTCCCATGGCAGGGACCAGTCGCTGCATACAGATGTTGACGTCCCAGACGTGGTCTTCATCTTGTGATCCGTGCAGGGATAATTGGCACGAGTAGGCCACCGACGGGCGACTTGAATTTGTGACGTTTGCAATTTGTGAGTCAACTGTCAGCCAAGTGGTATGCCTCAGTGCAAAGCAGCTGGACCTGTGCAAGTTGGTGTTTGAAGTTTTTTATGTTAACTGACAAATAATATTGTACTCTATGATTATTGACAAACGGGAATCGATCATTACGTACAGCATACACATGGCAGACACAGAGTGGAATAGAGTTGACCCATAATGCAGTTGAATTCAGTTCGCTTGACCAACAACAAAGACCAAAATGTGCTTGACACGTGGGTGTTACGGAAGAAGGGAAAGACAGAGCTGGTGTGATAAGTCTAGAGCTGAAAAATGTGCCGATGGGGAAGCAAAGAATCCATGAGAATTATCGGTGAGAAGGCAGGAGGTGTATGTGATACATATCTAAGAGGGTCACAGCTGGGGATAGGTCGAAACAGGATTCTGGAGAAATGAGAATGCACGGAACGAGGGGGAAGAGGAAGGAAATGGAGGCGAGTGGTCGCACCGGAGTTCCCGGTGAGATACGCTGAAGATGGAGGAAGACGGAGAGACTCCGTCGTTAGACATCACAATTCGGGTTTTATATAGAGAAAGAAAATAAAGGGCCATTGTCATGGGCGGAGTTTGGAGTGGGTGAGGGGGGGCACGGGGGGCAATGCCACCCCCTTCCCCCCCAAACTGGACACCTTTATAATTTTTTCAGTAGTTTACAAATTTATTATATGCGCCCACCATTCCTAATGTGAGGGACAAAGTGAACCCCCCCTGTCCCACCCCGACCCCACACCCCAAAATCTCCGCCTATGACAGTCGCCTTTGTTTTACGTTTCTTTGTTAACCCTGGAAAGGCTCACCGAGTCTCAAGCCTCATTGTTCAGGAGGGTCCTGCCAAGTGTTCGTGGTAAGGGGGCGATGCTGCTGCTGCGTGTAATCCCAATTGAGTAATGTCCAGGTAATATCCCAGCATTGGGATGTTTGGCCAATAGCAGTCGCATTCTGGGTGGGGGGGGCGGGGGGCTTTGTTTATTTGTTTGTTTTGTTTTTACAAAAGTATAAAACTTTTTTCTCAGTCGTCACGGGCAGAGCAACGTCACCGCGATGACGTTGGTGGCAGCTGCATTGATAACTTAGCAGAGGAACTTGTAGGTCAGGGACCAAAGCCACAATTAGAGACACCCATGTTGGCAAGTTTTCAAAATAATAATAATAGTGTTGACTTGGGCAGGACACATCTCCGGACAGGGTCGGTGCCAATTATTTTGTTTGATGCTGGCATTTTTGCCAGCATCAAAGTATGAAAAATAAGAATAGGTTTTACCCTTTATGGCAATACATCAGGTGTTAAGAAAGGGTAGATAACCTATTCTTATTTGTCATATTTAATTTTCGTTCCGATTCATTTCAATGTTTGTACTTTTGTTAGATTTTTGGCTTTTTTCTCTCCATTTTGGTGACTGCGTATGAGACCTCTGCTGTCCTCGGTTGCTCAACTTATCACTTGGGGGTCGAGCAATTGTTTTTTTACTTGAAACTCGAATTCGGGCAGAGTAATCGCGAAGGAATGGCAAACCGACGGAGAGACCAACACACCCAAGATTGACGTCCAGCGTGGAGGTGGAGCGAGGAGACTGGCATCGTGCTTTAGCAGGATGTACAATATGGATTGTGGGATCGTAAAGCCTTGAGGGATGGCAACGCCATGGGCAGATGATCGCTGACAATGGTCATCATCGTTTATTACGTATATTGCACCATGTGCCTCCCACACAGTATATATGGAGGCACCAAAGCACCCGGTGTTTGAGATAATTATTAGGAAAGTGATGGTGTAATAATAACAATTAACTTTATATTAAAAAGTCCCTCTCATATCAAAATATATCGAAGTGCTGTATGTAAAAAAAAACTTTTACTCACTGTTACAGATACAATCTGATATAAATGCAGTCAAAGACAAAAATAATATTAGCAGTAAAGACGATTACACTCGCAATAGAGAAATAATTCCGACAATCCATGATAAAAGCCAATAGCAATCATCATTAGGATAAAGGTAAAGTCCAATCATGACAAATACGGTGGCAAAAAGTTAAAAAAACACAGATAATATATACCGCGAATGAGAATTAATCAACTAATTTCAAACCCTAAACAAAGCTTGAGACTACTCTCTATTGATGATGGAGTAAAATGGATAAGAGCTTATTAAATTTTGAAGGGGTAAAGTAAAATCTCATGCATGGCTTGGCAAGGTGGCATGCCTGCGATATGGGGAAGCCTCGAATAGCTTCAAGGTCTCTGCCCTCTGACTTTCTCCAAACAAAAAAATCGTATCAGTTCCTGGTGGTAGCGCCGGTGTGCGTACATGCAGTGCTTATATCGAGCATCCGGGACACGCGGTCAGTCGCGTGCATTACTGCGGCCATTCACAGTGATCCTATTCATCGGCAGTCACGAAGCTGTCGAGTTCGGGCTCATTGAATCAAGACGCGAGTCTGTGCGCAGCCTCCCACACGAGCAAGGCTGTAACGTGGCTTGGGTTGTAACATGAGAGGAATGCAATACAGATGAGGGTCGTATTATTGTATCACGTGACAAACAGGGACAAGGGCATGTCTGGGTTGGGTGGCCAGCACAAAAGCGTGGCTTGTGGAGTTTTCTTTTCCTCACTCTCTCCCTCTCTTTCCTTCCTCAAGGGCGGTGCATGAGCAGCGCAAGTTAACTCGAGGCGGACAAGTTGCTCGATGTGGAAAAAAAAAAACCCGTGATGAAAACATCATCCTTGGACCGGGACAACAGGCAATGCCTCAGGTCAATGGCATTGGACACTTGACTGCTGAAGGCTGCAATTAAGCCTTGACGATTGAAGTGGATGTCAAGCTTTGCGAATCTATCCAGAGATTTAACCCTGACTAGATTTGTGTAAAATCAGTCGGAAGGGCAAGGCGGCTCAGAGAGTTAGACCGTGCACTGAGCCAGTGCTCACAAAATCCTGGGACGGAATCTGGGATTCAGCCACCCGGTGATTAAGCCAAGTTCTCAAGTGTAGATAATTTAAGGTCTCGGGCCCAGTCGATCCATCACTGGACGAAAAAAATAACTCATTACATTAAATGTGATATATATTTTTTTTCACTTAACGCAGCTCATATTAGCTCTGAAAATGTATACGTTTTGTTTTAATTACATGCGATTAACATTTATCCGTAAACCAGCACGCGAACTCCGGTCATCCTTGGAGCGGCTATTGGCTAGCCACCGGACAAAGACGGTCACCGCATCGCTCGCTTTCAGGTGCGCTTCTGCGGCCGTCTGGAACGCTCCTCATTCCGATATTAGGAAGCCACTGGAGCTTTGCACTTTAAAATAATCGATATTGAAAACTAATTCATATGGAACTAGCTGTTTTATGTTTGAGTCTAGATTTAAAGCTTTCGTGACTGCAAGGATCCATACTCTTTGGTTCTATTCGGTGAAGTCACGTAGGTAAAAAATAAAACAAAAATCACGACGTTTCGGCAACAACACAAGCGGCCTTCATCAGGTGAAGGGACCAGACTGTCTCGAGGACAGCGCTGGAGTGAAACACAGTTACGCTCAGACCGCGACCTTTAAGCTGTGTGCGAGGAAACAAGGTGCCTTGACAAAGGAATTAGCATAAAAATTAGCATTTGATTGGCCGACTTAGCATGATGAACGGTGTAGAGGTGGTGTACATGCGGGTGAACCTCCGATTAGCACGGTTGGCTACGTACGGTGCGAAAGAAGTTCAACGTACGTACATAGAGAGTGGATAAAGAGGCATACTCAAATGACTTCCGAAGCCATCTTTTGGGGCGGCTGTTTTCTGGCACAGCAAGAGCCCCGACTGGAAATGCATTCATCTCCCGTCACAACTCTGACCGCACAAGCGAAATAAACTCGAGTGAATTTAAGAAAGAAAAAAAAAGCGATACAAAGACGGGAGTTATAAGAAGCGTGAATAAACACATCGCTACACAACTATAACCATAGGCTGAAAAGCCAATTCATTAAACCCATTCAGCTGCTCGCACGGCATTTTCAAGCAGACTAGGCAGACACCCAATAATGAATATGCCCCATTGGGTACACAATACGAAAATGCATTCACCACCGGAGGTAAACATCGGCACTGGCAGTGACACAGAGCCTCCGTTGTCCCCCCCCCAACCCACCGCCGTTTCGAAGGTAAAAACCCCACCATTGTTTTGCTCGTTGCTGGCAGGCAGGTCTCCAACGACGCTTCACAGCTATGGGGCAGCCTGCGAACTTCTTGTCAAACGACTGGTCAATATAACACTCGCCCCGCCGGCCGGGGGCTGGCACATTGATTTCAGAATTTCAGAGCCGTGTAGCGAAAAGAAAAACCTTCACGCAGGCGTGGGAGGCAAGAGTGCATTGATATTATTTTATACTTGTGACATTTGTTTTTATATATTAATTTTTTTTATTTGAAAAAGAAAATAGCGCACATTCGTGCCAGTATATGAGGCCATACAGATGCAACATTCCTGCACCCAAACACTGATTTACGCTCCTCGGTTCCCAAATACATATTTGCGTTGAAATGTTGCACGCCCTGATTTAAAAAGAATAAGAAAAATTAATAGGCTGTTCCTACAGCAACGTTAAACCTACTCACAAAGGTGTCGTTAATTTTGGGTGTGTTTGGGGCAATCAACATTCATCACGGGCCGTGTGACGTTATTTGGCACTAACTTTGTGTTTAATTAACGTGGTGAAAAACATCAGTATTGACGATGGTTCCAACACTTGAGCACAATGTCCGAATGTAAACGATTTGCCAATGTATTCTTGAAAGAAAAAAAAAACCCCGAAAAATTAATCATAATTAAAGCGCTAACAATTTTTGTAACTTAAAATAAAGCCAAGCATTGTACGGATGCATGAATACAAAACAAGGTAACAGGAATTTCGACTTGTTTTCATTACATTAACAATATTTCACGTACACGATTGCTCTCCGTACCGTTTTCCTACAGCAACCATTCGTGGGAAGGCCAACGCGCGAGCGTGTGCGCCCAGAGAGGAAGCACCACGCGTTGTAACGTTCCTCCCACGCTGCGATGGCGCGGGTACGTTGCGTGCGAACCCGCACACGATGTCAGAGTTGTCGGCGGACACGGAGCAAATACTTACACTTCCTTCAGGTTCAGCAGGCGGCTCATCATAGCGCCCGCATCAATGTCCTCCAGTTGATTGTTGCTCAAATCTCTGTAAAGAGAATTAATCATGCATGAGCGAGCAAGGAGAGCCAAGGTATCCGTGACGCTGCTCGACAAATCCACACGCTGAGAAGACGAAGATCCTCTGTGTGGCCACTTCCATACGGGGCTGCCTGTGGAAAGTGTCGTTCAGAATCGTGATCAGAATCTGTATTTGTCTGTGGAGAAATCCGATAAGCTCTTTTTTCACACACGTTCAGCAGGTTCACACAGGTGTCCAGTCGGTGTGGTGTTTAAGTGAGCAGCGCTTCACGACTATTTACCAATTCGCATGCTTACCCAAGGAAGCCTCATCGAGTCTCAGGACTGTTTTTTTTTTCAGGAGGGTCCTGCCAAGCATTTGCATTTGGGGGGGCCTATGGTTGCTCCTTGTGATACCAATTACTGGAGTAATTTGCGGGTAATTTTTCATAATTGGGATGTCTTGGCCAATGCCAGTAACATTGCACGAGTATTATGTTTTACCTATGGGATGGAAGCAGAGAACACGGAGGAAACCCATTCAGAACAGGGGGGGAGAGAATACAAACTGCACACGCAGAAAGGGGCCTGATTCAGGAGTCGAACCCAGGCCCTTCTTGCTGTGAGTCATGAGTGTTACGGCTGCAACGCCCTGCCGCCAATTTAAGGTCACAGCTGCACACGGAGGTCCATTCAGGCCAGGCTGCCTTCGTGTAAAACCTCAGTGTTGTTGGTCCAAAACCTTACCAGGTGATCATATGTGGGCCGAGTCAACCTAAGAGCGGTGTAATGTCCAGATTTTAATAATGATAATAGTGACCAGACAACGGTTGTGCTTGGCCAGGAAGGAATCTTAACTTGCGCTGCTGGAATTGCTGAAATGTGCACTGACCACCCGCTGAGCCACCGTTGCACACACACGATGCACACTTGCGCACACACGATGCACACCTGCACACACACGATGCACACTTGCGCACACACGATGCACACTTGCACACACACGATGCACACTTGCACACACACGATGCATGCTTGCACACACACGATGCACACTTGCACACACACGATGCACACTTGCACACACACAATGCACACTTGCACACACACGATGCACGCTTGCGCACACACGATGCACACTTGCGCACACACGATGCACACTTGCGCACACACGATGCACACTTGTGCACACACGATGCACACTTGCGCACACACGATGCACACCTGCGCACACACGATGCACACTTGCGCACACAGGCTGTGCTCGTTGCGTGGGGTTCTTAAGAGCAGCAGTACGCAACACGCACGCTGACGCGGAGTATTTAACCTTGCAGAGGCGACATTTGACAAATGGAATGAGCGTTGCTATATTTAAATAATAATAATGCATTGTTAATGGCGACTCGGGGATACGGTTTCCCTTCTTTCAGAACTCTGCGGGGATGTCTAGGTCAGTCTTATAGTAGATAACTTGAATGTGCTACGCGAACGGACTGTGATTTCCCCAAGGGGACGTTCTAATTAGTTGAACGACAGCCAGGAGTGCGTGTTTGCCGTTACCGCCGGAGCGCAGCTGAGGATAACGGCGAAGATCGTCGAGAAATGAAAAATGAAAAACGCGGCCCCACAACAACAAAAAAAATCCCCACGCTTGGGCCACGTGATAGCAGCCATGTGTGGCAGTTGTATGAGGAACAGATTGTACCTTTCAAGTCACAAAGTGCTTGTACCTTTCCTGGGAAAAATGCACTCAAAAGTCCATTCGCACAGGAACTCGATCTAATCTATCAGGCGGCTAACGGCTCTTTAATTATTCGCAGGCCTTCGAGCACATTGTCGGCCGCGGCACGGCGGAGTTCAACTCCACGGAGGCGTTTCGTTCGCGTGGGAGGAGGGCCGAGTTTCCTTTAAAAAGTCAACTTTGGAAATGCACGGCACAACATCCCTGCGACCAAGATTCCTTTAATTTTGCCTTTGTGTTTCATTTGGAAGGTACAAAAAAAATAGACGTTGATTTTTTTGGGGAACAATAACAAACCGGAAAAAATGACATAACACAATTACATAATCCTGGATATGCCAGTTTCATTACAATCCTTTTACTACCGGGCAGGGACACGGCCTAACGGTAGCGCTCCGTTCGCCGCGAGTTGCAGAGCGCCGCGGTTCGAATCCAGTGGCAGCCCTAGCTGATCTCGTCAAGGAGTATAAAACATCGCGTGAACTCCGGTCATCATCGCAGCAGCAGCAGCAGCTGTTTGCTAACCATGGAACAAAGACAGTCACCACATCGCGCATTTGCAGATGCGCTTCTGCGGCCGTCTGGAACGCTCTTCCGTCCGATATTAGGGATCCACTTGAGCTATGCACTTTTGAAAAATCTAGATCGACGAACTCATTTATTTAGAACTGCTTTTTGGTTGTTAATTTAGCATGGTTGGCGATGTACATGCATGCATTACCTGGCTGCATCATAATCATAACACTGTGTAACAACATTTTTGTTAAAAAAAAATTGTTCCTGGGTAGTAAGTGTTATTTACTAATTGCTATTGCCTCAAAAGTACTGAAAATGGATATTTTCCCCCACAAACTTTGCTTTTGTGACCAGGACAGTAATATTTTGAAATGTACCTATTTTCAGTGAGAAAACGTGGTGTACATTTGTGTCTTTCGTTCACGTAAAGTCCTGGTCACAAAAGCAACGTTTGTGGAGAATAATAGCCATTTAATGCACTTTTGAGGCATTAGCATTTAGGAAATGACACTTAGTATCCAGGAACAAAAATCGCGCTACACAGTGACAATGCTCCAGTTGGGCCATTGTGTGGCGGCATCAGGGAGCCAACTTGTCAAACAAAACCACAAATCACTCAGTCGGGACGATTTCCGGCAATCATCGGCAAGACGCTCCCGCAAATGAGACTATCCTGGTCTCTTGAGTTCCCAGCCGGTTAAACAAAATAAACGTGTTGTGTGTTCTTTCGTAAAATATATATTTTTTTAATTCCACATCCTCTCCTTACATTGTAACATCCTGACGTTCTGGATCGCATTACCAGGGGCTTGGATGATATCAGGCAAACCGGACTCATCAGAGGCGGGGGGGGGGGTGTGGGGTGGTATATATGTGTTGTGCTATTGTACCGTTTTGACCTGTCTACATTTTCAGTTTTTCGCATCCCCCCCAAGCGCCGCCGTAGCAATCGACGTGGGACCCGCGTTGGAACGACCGCGGGAGCGTGACGGCGCGATTGACGCGCGCCGTTCTGGACATTAGGGCCCCGCCGGCTTCACACCAACATGGAAACAAGCCGCGTGGCAGCGGCTTAAATACGATTGAACAAACGGAGATGGCGTACGTACGCTCGCCGACAAATATTCACAGCCCCGAGAATTTCCAGCCGTTTTTTGTTTTTGTTTTTACAAAAGCGTCCGCAGGTTCCATCGTGAATCGCGCGGCAGCCTCTTTCTTCGGAGCCCTGCCGTTTCGCCGAGCGCGCAAGCCAGAAGACTCCGCAAGAGGTCTGCTCTGGTGCGACCCATCGAACCGCCAGGTCAGGTGCTCCGAAACAAACGTTCCGTTGGCTCGATCGTGGTGTAAAACAATGGCATTGTCTCCAGATGTGAAGAGAAGCGGAGAAGCAAAATCCCACCTGTGAGCTTAGGTGCTCAATCAGTTTCCAAAGTCAAGGGCAACGAATAATTTGGCAAAAATAACCAACGAAAAGATGATCGTCGGCAAACACCCACGTGTCTGCGCTGGCTGCCGCTGCGATTGCTCATCAGCATCTCAGACTCGACGGCGCTACGAGATCAAGTTCCACGAACGCAATTCTCGAACCGCTCTGCCCGTGAGAGAGCAATGGCATGCGCTGGACAGGCTCCACGGATCGGAACAATCGTCAAACTTAAAAGATCCCGTGGACGAATAGGCCACGGGGGTGTTTAAATCGATCCTCCCCGTCCGCAACTCAAACCTAGAACACGGCGGTGGAGCATCCTCCGACTGCCATGGTTGGCTGCGTACGATGCCCGAGAGAAGTTCAACGCGCACACGCGCATACAGAGGCGACACCCGCCAATGGGAGCGGGCCGGTTGGCCCGAGCGGCTCAAAACGTTCGCTCCTGAGGGCCCTGTTACAAGGATGAGCGAAGCCGTTACCCGTCGGGTCCCCCCCGCCCCCCTTTATCGCCTTGACCGTGTCGGTATCGTTTTCAATCGTGGATCGATCCCGCTGTTCCTGTCGAACGTTACAGAGCGACGGGCGCTTTCGCGGCCCGCCCACGGAATCGATCGTTTCCTTTCTCTCCCTCTCTCTCTCTTTCTCCGCTAGCGTTAAGCATCAACGCCCGGCACAGTTGAAAGTCGAGCGCGATGAACGCGCTGATAAATCACGTGCGGCATCCCGCCGCTGCCAGCCGGCCACGGGAGAGGAAGCAACCAAGGACTTTCTAATATTATCTCTCCAAGCGGAGTGGGGCAACAGCTCCCGCTCACCGTCACCCCACCGCCTCCTCGCTGTGATGCCTCGTCCAGAGGGATTTTGACAATGCCGACGCACCTCGAGAACGAAAGTCAACGTCACGGCGAAAACGCCTGCAAGCGGGCTGCGGCCGATGAAGCATATTCACGCGTGACGTATCTACTTGATGTCTACCCGTCTTATATTGTCAAACGCTAAAGATGAGGTGGTACGGTATTCCAGTGATTTGTATTCCTTTTGAATTTACATTGGAGTGAGATTAAAGTGCAGCCCTGCGATGTTTTGCTGCCACTGGCGGAAGGGCCTCCACTCGAGGCAGCTCCAGAAAGCCTGGTTAGAGGGTACTTGGTCTACTCCTTCCACACCGTGAGTGAACAGAGGCGGGAAGATTGAATAAACTTGCCCCACTGCTTCAACTTGCCGTGCAACTGGCGACCTCTGAATTGCGAATGCGTTGCGGTAACCATTACACCGCGGCTGAATAAAAAATAAAAAATTACAGTGTAATAACGCAGCACACTTGTGAAAGTCAATTCTGTCT